GGGGCAGGTGGCAAGTCCTGTTTGCCCGCCTCCCTGTTCCCCTGGCTTCCTTTGGCCATGAGGATCCCTGCTTGTCAGCTTTGAGAAGTAAAGACAGTCCTGCCTCTCCCTCAGAGATGAGTAACAGTGACTTAACAAGAGCTCAGAGCCCAGCACATTCCTGAGTTCCCTGTTTTAGTGCTTGTGTCAGGAGGTGTGTCATACTTAGTGTGTGTCATGAGGTGGCTTACAGTGGGATTTGGTAAAGGTATAAAATGCACAGAGAGAAGGATTATTGTGAGTAGTCATAGCAGTCCTCCAAACCCAGAAATAATGGGGTGTTCTGAAGTCTCCCTGCAGTGTTTTTTTGTATTCATGTGTGTGCTGTTCAACTCAGGTTGTCAGTATAATGGAAACAGTCTGCCTGTGACATTTAAAGAAAAATTGAATTTTCTTCCCACAGTTTATCTGGCCTTCAATCCTGTTAGCCATAGGACAGTTTGCTACATTGCACAGTTCTGCTTTTTGTTTGTCACAGGAGCCCACAAATGAAAAATATACACGTGCAATTTTATAAAGATAATCTTAAATTTGGGTAAAATGTATTTATTATCTGATTGTTGCCATTGGACCTGTTGCCTAACTTGCTAAATTTTGTTTTTCCAAAAGATTTATTTATTTATTTGTTAGAAAGGCAGAGCAAGAGAGAGAGAGAGGGAGAGATAGTGACAGATCTTCCATCTACTCCTCAATGGCCACAGTGGCCAGGGTTGGGCCAACCCGAAGCCAGGAGCCAGGGACTCTATCCAAGTCTCCCACATGGATGGCAGGGGCCCAAGTGCTTGGGCCATTGCTGTTGCCTTCCCAGGTGCATTAGCAGGGAGCTGGATTGGAAATGGAGCAGCTGCAACAGGAACCACCACTCTGCTATTGGATGGGATGCTGGTGTCGTTGCGGCAGCTTAACCCCACTGCACCACAACGCCAGTTCTGTAATGTGTTAGAATTTAAATGTGCCCCTTTTCACCCAGTGTCTCTACATCACTCATTTTTGCGGGGATGGTGTCCTCTGTTAATTCTGGGTCATTTGTGCCTGCTCTGTAACTGTAACATCTTTCACGTGTGTATTCCACCTGCACGTGACAGCAAGAGCCGTACCCAGCAGGCAGGGAGGCAGTGGTTTTCACCCGTACCTGCTGCCAGATAGATTTGAAAAGCCAGTTAAGGGAAGTCAGTGTTGGTGCTGAAATGTGGGGGATAAAGTGCAGCGCACTGGTTCTCAAATGACAAACTCCTGCCTAACGGAGACCGTGCTCCTGGGACCTTTGACTGTCATCTCCCCAGCCTCCATTAGCTCCACTCTCCTCTGTGCTTCTGTGAATCCATTCTTTCAGATTTCGACATACGAGAAACACGCTATTTGTCTTTCTGTGTCTGGCTTATTTCACTTAGCATAATGTTTTGCAGGCATCTCTTCAGTGTGCTGGGTTCAAATCTTTTGGGTAAATACTCAGTCGGGGGCTTGCTGAATCATATGCTAGCTCGGTGCTTAATTTTCCACAGTGACTATACTCATTGAGGGGATGTTTGAACCTGATGTTCTGATCCTTTCCTGCTGTAATCTTTTATGACAGCTGGTTGCATGCTTGTCATTCTTACTGGAGTGCAAGTTCTTTAAGGACAGGTCATGACACACAGAGAAAAGCTTTGAAACACCCTGCGGTAAAGTGCCCGGGTTGTATCTCTGGAGACTTGGGCCAGGCCTCCAGCTGCTGTGGGCTCCGCCCGGGACACTGGCTGGGAAACTGCGGTACATAGCGTAGTCGCTACAGGACCTGGAACCATCTTGCATCCAGTAGGTTCTCAGTAATATTATCATAGGAGAGAAAATAAAAAAGGAACATAGGAGATAGGGGGGTCAGTTGCGAGACAGGATTTGAGTTCTTAAAGAATCTAGGAGCTGGCGCTGCGGCTTACTAGGCTAATCCTCCGCCTGCGGCGGCGGCACCCCAGGTTCTAGTCCTGGTTGGGGCGCTGGATTCTGTCCCGGTTGCTCCTCTTCCAGTCCAGCTCTCTGCTGTGGCCCGGGAAGGCAGTGGAGGATGGCCCAAGTCCTTAGGCCCTGTGCCCGCATGGGAGACCAGGAGGAAACACCTGGCTCCTGCCTTCGGATCAGTGCAGCGCCCCGGCCGTAGCACACCAGCCATAGCGGCCATTTGGGGGGTGAACCAATGGAAGGAAGACCTTTCTCTCTCTCTCTCACTCTCACTGTCCAACTCTGCCTGTGGAAAAAAAAAAAAGAATCTAGGAAGTGGGGGCCGATGCTGATGTGCAGCTGGTTGACGCCCTGGCCTGAAGTGCCGGAATAATCCCCTATGGACTCCAGTTTCAAGTCTCGGCTGCTCCACTTCCAATCCAGCTCTCTGCTATGGCCTGGGAAAGCGGTGGAAGATGGCCTGGGTCCTTGAGCCCCTGCACCTGGGTGGAAAACTGGGAAGAAGCTCCTGGCTCCTGGCTTTGGATTGGTGCAGCTCCGGCCATTGTGGCCAATTGGGGATTGAACCATCTGATGGAAGACCTCTCTCTCTTTTTTTCTCTCTCTCTCTGCCTCTCCTCTCTGTGTAACTCTTTCAAATAAATAAATAAATCTTTAAGAAAAAAAAGAATCTAGAGGTGAATAGGCGTTTAGATTCCTGCCTAATCATGTCAGAACCTTGGATTCGAGGGTGGGGGGCAGCATTGTGGCACAGCTGGTTAAACCAACTTTTGCTACGGAGCCCTGGTTTGAGTTCTAGCTGTTCTGCTTCTGATCCAGCCCCCTACTAAATGTTCCTGGGAAAACAGCACAAAATGGCCCAAGTGCTTAGTCACTGCAGGCCTGGCCCCACCTGGCCCAGCTCCGGCTGCTGTCATCTGGGGAGTGAGCCAGTGAATTCATGACTGTTTCTGTCTGTCTCTCCCTCTCTCTGCCACTGCCTTTCAAATAAACAAAATAAATCAAATAAATCTTTTTTTTTTTTTTTTAAAGGTGAGGGCTGGCGTTGTGGCATAGCAGGTAAAGCTTCACCTACAACACTGGCATCCCATATGGGTGCCAGTTCTTGTCCTGATGGCTCCACTTCTTCTTCTTTTTTTTTTTTTTAATATTGATTTTATTTATTTGAAACACAGAGTTCCAGAGAGAGGTAGGCAGAAAGAGAGGTCTTCTATCTGCTGGCTTACTCTCCAGAATGGCTGCAACAGCTGGCGTTGGGCCAATCAGAAGCCGGGAGCCAGGAACTTCTTCCGGGTCTCCCGTGTGGGTGCTGCTGCTCCACTTCTGATCCAGCTCCCTGTAATGGCCTGGGAAAAGCAGGGAAAGATGGCCAAGCGGCCCCTGCCTCTCACGTGGGAAACCTGGAAGAAGCTCCTGGCTCCTGGCTTCAGCCTGGCCCCGCCCTGGCTGATGTGGCCATCTGGGGAGTGAACCAGCAGATGGAAGATCCCCCCCCTCCCTCTCTCTCTCTCTCTCTCTGAAACCATGGCTTTCAAATAAATTAATATTTTTTAAAAGACCTTGGGAACAAACAAAAAGTTTCATGGGCCTTGGTTTGGTTTTGTGTGTGTGTGTGTGTGTGTGTGTGTTTTGAGACTGACTTATTAATTTGAAAGAGTTACAGAGAAAGAGGGAGAGACACAGAAAAAGAGGCCTTCCATCTGCTGGTTCACTTCCCAGATGGCTAGAATGGCTAGGGCTGAGCCAGGCTGAAGCCAGTAGCCAGGAACTTCACTGGGTCTCTCACATGGGTGGCAGGGGCCCAAACACTTGGACCATCTTTGACTGCTTTTTCCAGGTCATTATCAGGGAGCTGGGATGGAAGTGGAGCAGCTGGGACACTCACTGGCACCCATAAAGGATGCCGGCACCACAAGCAGTGGTTTTACCTGTCATGCCACAATACCAGCCCCCGGGGTAATTTTTTAAAAATAATAAAAAGTTTGTCAGCACTTGCTATTCATGTGCTCTTCATCTTTCCCTTTTTTCTTTAAGATTTATTTTAAGATTTAAGAAAGAGTTATAGGGGGAGGGAGACCTTCCATCCACTGGTTCACTACCCTGATGGCTGCAAAGGCCAGCGCTGGGTCAGGCTGAAGCCAGGGGCTTCATCTGGGTCTAGGTGGCAGGGGCCCAAACACTTGAGCCATCTTCTGCTGCTTTTTCCAGGCCATTATCAGGGAACTGGATCGGAAGTGGAGCAGGACATGGACTGGCGCCCGGGGGAAGCTGGCCCTGCAGGTGGCGGCTTTACCCTGCTGTATCGCAGCGCCGGCCCCTGCATCGCTCTTCAGCTGAGGGTGCTGAGGAACTGTGTTGAGCATAAAGTGTTGATACTTCTCAGCTTCGCTGCCTCTCTTAGAAGCAGTCACGTTGCGTTGGGGGACTGCGCTGTGACCTCCCGTCTTGCCCCAAATCCTCACAGCCATCATTTGCCTGCCTTCTTCCTGATGGTGGGCAGCTCTGTCTGGCAGACAATAGATCATACTTGGAGAGGGAATGGATTTCTCCAAAGGCTTTGACCTTTAATGCCTCATAGAAGAGTAGTTAACACACCGCTTAATCCCACCGGAGCTCCCCAGCCCTGTGGTTATGTAGTCTGTGTAAGTGGTTTTAAGTGAAGCTAGATTGGGTGAGATTGTGGGCCAAATACCATTCATCTTCCAGCGGACAGATTTATAGAAGAAGAGGGGATGGCCTTTTCTGCCCACCAAGGACCAAATGGAAGGAAATAGTCTTAATTTAACAGAACAGAAATTGACACCAAGAAGGCTGTGCAACAAGTCCAGGGGAGGGGAATGAGGCGCTGGGACGGCGAGCACGCCCTGTTCTCGAAGCTCTTGGCCATCAGGAAGGAAGCCGCGCTGTTTGGCTGTGCCCTTGTGGAGGGGCTGCACAGACAACCCTGATGCTTATGGGCTTTGTGTCACGTGGTTCTTCCACTGTCCTAAAACAGGGAGGCCTTATTCCATTTCTTTTTCTCTTAGTCAGATTCCGAGGAAGATGAACCCACAAAGAAGAAAATTGTTCTTCAGGTAAGCTTTGTGTCCCCCCCAGGAGCCGGGTCTTATCTTCCCGCGTGGTTTCCTGAAGACAGCACTTGCAGGGCCCAGCAGCGTTCACGTCAGATCAAGAGCAGGTGTAGGTGTGCGCTTTCGTTTTCCTTGTGCGACTTCTCCCCATGTGGCTTTGGTGCAATGGTGTCACCTCCGCCAGTCGACAAACAGTGGCAGGAAGATGGAGCGGGACTTGGTTCAGTTCTTCACATTTCAGATTATTTAAGGAGGGCCGAATAAATGGATAGATCGACGATGTTAGGGAGTATCTGTATTTTAAAATTTGTCTGCTTTGTCCCAGTCACGTTTTTATCCTGGGAACTACATACTTAAATAGCACTGACTGTTAACCAGGCACTGTTCTCTGCTTTCCTGACACGGAACTGACGTCACCCTCACAGTAGTGCCTAAGCAGTGTCATTTTCGTTCCTGTTTTCCATATGAAAAAACCGAGGAACTGGCCCAAGCAGAGACAGCTACAGGGGCAGAGTTTGGGGTCAGACTCAGGCAGTGACTGCCGCACTTAAGCTTCTCCCCATCACTCTTGACCGTGAGGCCTCACCCAGATGGTGCTGTTGGGTGCTGTCCCTGCTGCTCGTGTGTGTTCCCCCGCGTCCCAGGACCTTTATTCTGGCCCCCAGAAGCTTCTTCCTGTTCTGCCCACACTTGGTGACACTCTGACCTCGTGTTGATCATGTGTGTCAGGAAGAAGCAAAAGCCATCCTGCCTTAGTAAATAAATAAGGTGGTTGTCCCAGGGTTCGGGTTTGTGATGCTGATGCTGCCCCTCCTGCTAACTCTGCCAAGGCAGAGGCCTTAGAAGGACGGGATTGTGCACAAGTTAGGAGACAACTGGCAGGGGTAGTGTGGTGTCCGTGTTGATAGTGAGTGCGACGGAGGAGGAGTCATGGCAGGAGCTGCTGAGCCAAGGCTGAGGCCAGTGATTCTATTGCCAGGACGGCTTCCCGGAGGAGGTAGACTGGCCCAGGAGGCGCCCCACAAGCCAAGAGCAGGGTTCCAGAGCACAGGGAGACATGAGGGGGTAGAGGCAGCATAGGCTGGTAAGGCACCAAGGGGCGCAGTGGGGACCCAGCGCTATAGAGGAGGTCGCAGGCTCAGAGGTAGCCTGAGGATGTGCTCTGACCACACCTCACGGGTTCCCATGACCCAGACCTGTGCGCACTGCCAGCGCAGAGGAGCCCGCCCTCCACCCAGGACAGGCCTCCTGCCTCGCCCACTTGACCTGGTCTTATTCTGTTCATTCAGGGCACTTCTTGCCTGAGGACTGGGGCACACTGGGACTCTAGGACAGTGACACCGGGTGCCAGTCAGCGCCCCTTCACCCTATGGTTAGACCAAGCTGGCCTTTTGACATGCAAAGAGCGGAGTCTGTGAGATTCTTAGGAGCAGTGGGAGTTCTGGGTGGGCTGGGCCACTTAGTTTAGATGTTGCTAAGTTGAGTATTTGACTCTGGCATCAGCAAGCTAATGTCCCACCTCCATAGGGCTTTCCTTGGGCAGGCAGGGGCCTTCGGGTACCTGATATGTAGATCTCTTTTGGACAGTTTGTTCTTGACTTGGGGTGGCAACCCGCAGGACAGGTGGGTTCCTATGTTAGGAGGCCCTTTCAGGCCACGGAGGGAGGTGACGGGCTGGAGACAGACTTAGGCTCTTTGGGAGGAGGGGTGATGCGAGATGAAGGTATGGAATTGCTGGCAGCACAGAGTTGGGGAAGGCTCTGGCGTTGGGGCCAATGGAGCTGGGCTGGGGAGGGGCGGGGGAAGAAGGGTGGTGTCTCTGCTCAGACGTGCAGCCCGCAGAAGGGCCTGAGGTCAGAGGAGGCAGGCCCAGGTTGGATGGCCTGCGTGGGTGGAGGGATGGTGGAAACAAGGCTGGTGAGATTTTGGGCTGAAAGTGGAGCTGTTACTCCTGTTGGCTGTGTCGCTGGTCCCTGATACGAAATTCCACTTGTTGTCTTTCTTCCTTCCTGCCCAAACCTGGGCTCATCAGGGATCCGGTGAGGGGACTGGTTTGTCTGCCTTGCTTCCCCAACCTAAAAACCTGACTGTGAAAGAGACTAACAGGTTGCTCCTGCCCCACGCCTTCTCCCGGAAACCCTCGGATGGCCCCTCTGAGACTAAGCCCTCCAGACTGGGTTCTAAGACCAAGCCTTCCTCTCTTGCCCCTGTTGTGGGCACTACAACCACCACTCCGTCGCCCTCTGCCATCAAGGCTGCCGCCAAGAGTGCTGCCCTGCAGGTGACGAAGCAGATCACGCAGGAGGAGGATGACAGCGACGAGGAAGTAGCCCCCGAGAACTTTTTCTCCCTCCCTGACAAGGCTGAGCCGCCGGGAGTCGAGCCATACCCTTACCCTCTCCCCGCTGTCCCTGAAGAGCTGCCTCCAGGCACGGAGCCAGAGCCCGCTTTCCAGGACGACGCAGCCAATGCCCCCCTTGAATTCAAGATGGCGGCAGGCTCGAGTGGGGCTCCTTGGATGCCTAAGCCTGGGGACGACTACGGCTACAATCAGTTCTCCACATACGGCGATGCCAATGCTGCTGGTGCTTATTATCAGGTGGGTAGGGGCCCGGAGGGCAGGCCTGTCAGTGCCAGAGGCCCCTGTGCCGTCACCTGGGTGGAATGGAACTGACCTGCTGCCGTCAGGCCTCGGAATTTGCTACGTGTGTTCTAAACCCTGTGATGTCAGGTGCCCAGATCTTAAAGTCTGGCAGGGTGAACTTCGTAACTAACACTTTTATTCTGAAATCGCAGCCCTGTGTGGGAGCTGCTGCAAGGTGTAGGGAGAAGGGAGGGGGCCAGGTGCTGAGCCCAAAGTACAGGAGAAACTCAGGTGTGGACGAGAGGACAAGGCAGCTGTGGCCTAGGTTCTCGCAAGTAGCCCCAGAAGCGCCTGGGGAGAGTGAGAGTACTGAGAAAGCAGGGAGGAAGAGGGCAGCTGAGGAAGGGGTATCTGTGGGGCTGATGGAGAGGCCTTGATGGAGTCGGAAGCTGGGAGGGCGTGGCAGGTGCCCTGGAAGGAGAAGGCAGTGGTGGAATGCATCCTGGCCAGTGTGGGTTCTGAATCCCAAGCTCCGTGAGTTTGGGCAGATTGTTTACCTGCCTTGCCAAGTCCAAGACCTCAGCGGCAAAATGGGATATGATAGCAGCCTCATCGGATTGCTGGGAGAATTGCATTAGCTTAGTATAATGGTGCCTGCAACATAGCAAGTGCTCAATAAATGGTTATTATAACTATCTCTAGTCACATGCTGTATTCAAGTGTTATCTGCAAGAGGTATTTAGATTGTGTGGCCTCAGAGAAACCGTAGGATGCCAGCTTGTGACTAGATTTAAGAAAGAACTTTCTGGTAATCAGAGCCTTCTTAGTAGGAGAGGGCTCCCAGAGGTGGGGGGACTCAGCAGCCGGAGGAAGTTTGACTGCTGGCTGGGGATGGTTGGGTGACACGAGTCCCCTTTGATCCACTGCGGTTCTCTGGTGTCAGTCTTATTTTCAGTCTAGGTGTGAAGAGGGAGGCCAGGTGGGCTTTGGGGGGGACCCTGTTCTGACCAAAGACTCTGAAAACAAGTGTGTTTCCTAAATCTTTGCTGTTAAACCTTGTTGAATGCTATAGGTTGTTCAGAGCTGGGCCATCTCCCTCAAGGTTGTTGTCAGAAGGAGGGAGGAAGATGATGAGTGACCTCTTTAGCAAAAAAAAAATAAAAAAATAAAAAAAAATGCTGTTAGAAACTAAGAAACCACTAGTGTACATACAGCAAACAAGCAACACATTGGCACTCTTTTTTTTAAGATGTATTTTTTATTTTTTATTTTTTTGACAGGCAGAGTGGACAGTGAGAGAGAGAAACAGAGAGAAAGGTCTTCCTTTGCCGTTGGTTCACCCTCCAATGGCTGATCCGATGGCAGGAGCCAGGTACTTATCCTGGTCTCCCATGGGGTGCAGGGCCCAAGCACTTGGGCCATCCTCCACTGCACTCCCTGGCCACAGCAGAGAGCTGGCCTGGAAGAGAGGCAACTGGGACAGAATCCGGTGCCCCGACCGGGACTAGAACCCGGTGTGCCAGCGCCGCAAGGCGGAGGATTAGCCTAGTGAGCCGCGGCGCCGGCCTGTATTTTTTATTTTTTAAAGATTTAATTATTTTTATTTGAAAGTCAGAGTTATACAGAGAGAGGAGAGGCAGAGAGAGAGAGGTCTTCCATCTGATTCACTCCCCAGTTGGCTGCAACGGCCGGAACTGCACCGATCTGAAGCCAGGAGTCAGGAGCTTCTTTGGAGTCTCCCATGCAAGTGCAGGGGCCCAAGGACCTGGGCCATCCTCCACTGCTATCCCAGGCCATAGCAGAGAGCTGGATCGGAAGAGGAGCAGCCGGGACTTGATCCAGCGCCCATATGGGATGCCGGCGCTTCAGGCCAGGGCGTTAACCCACTGTGCCACAGCACTGGCCCCAAGATTTATTTTTTAATTTGAAAGAATTAGGGGTGGGGGGACAAAGAGATTTTCGATCTGCTGGTTCACTCCTGAAATGGCCACATGACTGGGGCTGACATTGGAGTTCCACGTGCAGTTATCAACATACTGAGGTAGTCTGCAAATTGAAGCACTTTATTTTATTTATTTATTTATTTTTTGACAGGCAGAGTGGACAGTGAGAGAGAGAGAGACAGAGAGAAAGGTTTTCCTTTGCCGTTGGTTTACCCTCCAATGGCCGCCATAGCTGGCGCGCTGCGGCCGGCGCACTGCGCTGATCCGATGGCAGGAGCCAGGTGCTTTTCCTGGTCTCCCATGGGGTGCAGGACCCAAGTACTTGGGCCATCCTCCACTGTACTCCCTGGCCACAGCAGAGAGCTGGCCTGGAAGAGGGGCAACCGGAACAGAATCTGGCACCCCGACCGGGACTAGAACCTGGTTTGCTGGCACCGCAAGGTGGAGGATTAGCCTAGTGAGCTGTGGCGCCGGCGTGAAGCACTTTAAATAGGGAACTCTGACATGATTTGATTTAGAAATTAAAAAAAAATTTTTTGTTTAGATTTATTTATTTGAAAGGCAGAGTTACAGAGAGGGAGAGGCAGAGGCAGAGAAAGAGGTCTTCCATCTGCTGGTTTGCTTCCCAAATGGCTGCAGCAGCCAGGGCTGAGCCAGACCAAACCAGAAGCCAGGAGCTTCTTCTAGGCTCCTACACAGATGCAGGGACCCAAGCACTTGGGCTGTCTTCCACAGCTTCCCCAGCTGCATCAGCAGGGAGCTGGATCAAAAGTGGAACAGCTGGGACTTGAACTGGTGACCAAATGGGATGCTGGTGCTGCAGGTGGCAGCTTAACTCGCTATGGCCCCTCATTTAGACATGTTTTAAAAATTTATTTGAAAGGCAGAGAGTTAAAAAGAGAGATCTCCATTGCTGATTTATTCCACAAATGCATGCAGCAGTCAGGGCTGGGCCAGGCCAAAGCCAGGAGCCTGGAACTCAATCTGGGTCTCCCACAAGGGTGCAAGACCCAAGTATTTTTTTTTTTTTTAATTTTTTTTTTATTTGACAGAGCTATAGACAGAGAGAGAGAGAGAGAGAAAGAGAAAGGTCTTCCTCCCATTGGTTCACTCCCCAAATGGCCGCCACGGCGCTGCACTGATCTGAAGCCAGGAGTCAGGTGCCTCTTTCTGGTCTCCCATGTGGGTGCAGGGGCCCAAGCACTTGGGCCATCTTCCACTGCCCTCCCAGGCCACAGCAGAGAGCTGGACTGGAAGAGGAGCAGCTGGGACTAGAACCCGGCACCCATATGGGATGCCGGCGCTTCAGGCGGAGGATTAACCATGTAAGCCACGGCACCCCCCCCCCCCAAGTACTTAAGCCATCACCTGTTCCCTCCAGGGTGCATGTTAGCAGGAAACTGGAATCAGAAGAGGAACCAAGACTCAAGCCCAGCACTCTAATATGGGCTGTGGGTTTCCCAAGTGGCATTGTATTATTGTGCCAAATACCTACCCTGACTCTGAAATCTAAACGTATCTATTGAAAACTATTACAGAAGATCAATACTCTTAATTGCTCTGGATTTTTATATTATTTTTTTGTAGTGACTATTAAACTTGTTTCCCATTTAACCCATTATAGGATGAATGTTCTTAGAAGGGCATCTCTGGGAGTTTGGGGTGAAGGTGGGAAAGTAGGAGGAGGCAGCCCTGTGGCTGCCATGGGGACCTTGCCCTCGCTCCACCCGCTCTTCCTTGGGAGTCCATGGCAGTAGCTGAGCAGCTTGTGTCTGTGGGGAATCAGATTCCTGAGCTGAAAATCTAGTACCATAAACCTAGTTTGTTCTCAGCTTTGTAAATCCCTTGGTTCCCTAACAGTGGTTTGTTTCTTAGCAGAGATCCACAGCCTGCCCACCCCCTACAGAGAGTCTGTTTGTGTCCAGAGGGCCTTGGGCGGAAGCAGAGCAGGATTGGCCTTGTACCCTCTCATCCCTGCCCACGGCACAGCGCCCTGGGGGCTGATGAGCGAGAGCAGTGGGGCTGAGGGAAGGTGAGGGGAGGAGAAAGCAGCAGGAGGCGCTCTTGGGAGGCAGCCGAGGGAGTGGGGCGCAGATTGAAGCAGGAGGGAGTGTCTTTATTCCTTGTCACGCTTTCCTAAAACATACCCATGTCTGCGTAGTGCTGATCAGGCAGCTGCAGGGACTGTTCTCAGAGTGCAGGGCAGGTCGTTGGGATCTGGACCTGCAGCTGGCCTGTTGGCGGGGACTGTGGGGAGGGCACTGATTCTCGCAGACCTCGTCCCCCTCACTGTGCTCTCAGTTGGTGTGGCTTTCTCTCTCCTTGGTTGCAGGATTATTACAGTGGTGGCTACTATCCTGCACAGGACCCGGCCCTGGTTCCCCCCCAGGAAATCACCCCTGATGCCTCCTTCATCGATGACGAAGCAGTAAGTGAACCATTGTGGCCTCTGGGTTTCAAATCTTAGCACAGCTGTATCAGTTAGGATTAGGTGGGGCAACATGTGACTGAGAAGCTGTACAAAATGGTGGCGTATATAAGGGAATACAGGAGATTTAGTTGGCCTCATAAAAGAAGACCAGAGCTAGGCAGGAGGTGGGGGTAGCAGCTCCATAGAATTGTCAGGGATCAGTCTTTCTGTGATCATAGCTTGCTCTCCCTGGACTGTGAGAGCAGCCAAGCCTCAGCTACCATGTCGGGATTGGAGGTGCAGAAGAGGGAGGGGTGCCTTCTCTTCCTTCCTAGGAGACTCTTGAGGGTTCCTGTGGAAGTATCCTTTTTTTTTTTTTTTTTGAAGATTTATTTATTTAGGGGGCAGAGTTACAGACCAAGAGAGGGAAGGACAGAGAGAAAGGTCTTCCATCCACTGGTTCACTCCCCAAGTGGCTGCAGTGGCTGGGGCTTGGCCAGGCTGAAGCCAGGAGCTTCTTCTGGGTCTCCCATGTTGGTGCAGGGCCCTAAGCACTTGGGCCATCTTCCACTGCTTTCCCAGGCCATTGGTAGGGAGCTGGATTGAAGTGGAGCAGCTGGAATTTGAAGCAGCACCCATATGGGATGCCTGCACTGCAGGCAGAGGTTTAACCTGCTGCACCACAGCGCCAGTCCCAAACGTGTCGCGCGTCCTCTTGCATCTTGCTGACTAGAATTTGTTCGCATGCCCATAGCTAGTTGTGGGGGGGCTGGGGAATGTGGGCTTCCCACTGGGTGGTAGCATGCCTAGCTAAACTCCTGGAGAGAATGGGTTTTGGGAGACCCCCAGCAGCTATGTTAAATAACCCCTGTGTTTCACATGACTGTCCCCCTGCGGAGCCTCTGGGAACCTGTGCAGGAGGAATGGTGCCTGCTGCTCTGGGGTCACGTGAGAGCCTTCGGGGAGTCACAGCCTGTCAGGAGAGAGTGGAGACCGCTGCTGTGTTGGTGTGGAGGCTCTTGGAGACGTAATTCTCCTCCGCCTGCCTTTTCCCGGAAGGGTGTCCCTCCTGCATGCTCGGGCCTGGGGTTGATGCCGTGCTCAGCCGCTCCTCCAGGTGTAGTTTGTGTGGCAGGCTCCATGGTGGGGTCCTTTCTGACCTAAGCCCAGGAGGCAGCTGGGAACGCGTCCACTGGTGAAAGTCAGTATCTTACAGGTAGAGTGAGCCCAGGGGGCCTCACTAACATTCAGACGAGGACCTTGGTCTCACGGAAGTGTTTAGGTTTTCTGGTTTTTGTTTTTTAAAGATTCATTCATTTATTTGAAAGGCAAAGTAACACAGAGAGGAAGAAAAAGAAAGAGAAATCTTTCAACCGCTGGCTCACTCCCCAAATGCTCACAACAGCCATGGATGGACCAGATTAAAGCCAGGAACCTGGATCTCCATTTGGGTCTCCCAGGTGGGCAGCAGGGACCCATGTACATGGGCCATCACCTGCTGCCTTCCAAGGTGCATCAGCAGGGAGCTGGATCAGAAGTGGAGCAGCTGGATGTAAACCACCCTCCAGTATGGCATGCTGGCATTGCACGTGGCAGCTTAACCTACTGTACCTCAATGTCTGCTCCGAGTTTTCTGTTTTGGATGTATGGGAGCACCTCTCTGACTTCTCTGGCTGACTTGGAGTGTGATCTACGTCTTTTTGAAGCATGGGGAAGAGGAGCTCTCTCCTAGATAATTTGCTGGCCCTTTTTTGGTTTTGTTTTTTTGCGGCCCCCTCTACCCAGCTCAGTTCTCCCTCGCTGACAGCTGCTCTGGTTTGGAGCATTCTGATTTGGTGATGTGGAACCAGTGAGAAGGAATAGAGATGAAAAACCAGTGTTTAGAGGAGAGATCCTTGAATTGTTTTTTCCTTTTTGGCCCTGAATTAATAATTTGAAAACTGTGTGCAGTCCTTTTGGGCAGTTAGAATTTATATGTAATTAGGGAACCAGTTCATACTCTTGGTTCTTTGCACTCACTTGTTCGGGGAGACCTCTTGCTTCCCTTCCCCTGGCTCAACGAGACCTTCTGAGAGGTGGCCTTTGGTCTGGTCTGCAGGCAGCGAGGTCAGTGGCAGGTGGAAGGAAGTACAGCAAGGAGGGGACTTGCAGGCGGTGGGCTTGTGGTCACAGAGCCTTCCGTAGACTCCAGGTCCTTAGCAGCGTCTCCTGATCCCTCACTCAGATTTCTCACTGCTGCATTTTCTTTTCCAGTTTAAGCGGCTACAGGGCAAGAGGAACCGGGGGAGGGAGGAAATCAACTTCGTGGAGATCAAAGGTGATGACCAGCTCAGTGGGGCCCAGCAGTGGATGACCAAGTCGTTGACGGAAGAGAAGACCATGAAGTCGTTCAGCAAAGTGAGTGAGGAGAAAGGTCCAGGGGGTGGTCAGCGTGGGAGGCTCCAAAGCAAAATCTGTTCTCTTCCCCGTCCTGTCCCCACACCCCATTGTTACTGTCACCACTCCTTAGCACACACGGGCTGCCCCCGGTGCCAGGTCTGCACTGAGCCTCTGAGAGTTGCTGCCTTCTAGAACTCTGCAGCCTGAAGCTGCCCTCCAGCCGGTGCAGGAGTCCGCTGCTGGATGGAGCGGCTGGGCAGAGCTCTGACGTGTGCTTGCTCCTGCCCCGCTGGTTTGCCCTCTCTGCAGCCCCGGCCCTCTCTCATCCTGAGAAGTGGGGCCTAGCTCGGCCCGTCTTTTCGGTTACAAGCTTGCCACCCCTCTCCTTTGTCCTTGTAGCCTGCCACCATCTTGTCAGACGCATTTCTCCTTCAGGTTTCCCTCTGCACACGCCTGCCCTGTCAGTGCTCGGTCTCAGTGCCGTGAGCGTCTCTTCACTCAGCAGCTGAGTGCAGCAGATACGGACATTTGTGTGCCTGCCACAGTGGGGAGGACGTGGGGAAGCCTTGGATGTGCTCCCAGCACGAGCAAGGCCAAGGTCGAGGATTTTATTCCCTTCTCCCCTCGCCCTCCCATTTGCTTCGCTTTGTTCTGTGACCACAGATGGCCATCGGAGCCCTGGCTGTTTGTTTTAACTGAATGCTGGCGGTCATACAGGACAGAGCAAAGGATTGTGGTTAGATCAGCTCGGATCCATCGCTGTTTACTGGAAAAACCACTTTGGTGAGCAAGGCCGAGTAGCTGCAGGTCGAGAGTGACGACACAGTGATGGCTGCTGTTGGTGCTCACTGCGGGCCAGGAGTGGAGCTGTGGGCTTTAACGTTGTACCTGCCACATGGGGGGACACCACACAGCAGCAAGGGACAAGCATTTGCTGTTTTCCCAGTTCCAAGTTTTCTTCCCACCATCTCTTTGTGTGGACCTAGGTTTTTATTTTTTATTTAATTTTTTTACTTTTTAAAAGATTTATTTATTTGAAATGCAGAGGTACAGAGAGGGAGAGACAGAGAGAGAGAAATCTTCCATACATTGGTTCACTCCCCAAATGACTACAATGGCCAGGGCTGGGCCAGACCGTAGCCAGGAGCTGGGATCTTCTTCTGAGTCTCCCATGTAGGTTCAGGGACCCAAGGACTTGGGCCATCCTCTGCTGCTTTCCTAGGCACATTAGCAGGGAGCTGGATCAGAAGTGGAGCAGCTGGGACTTGACTGGTGCCCATAGGATGCTGGCATCTCAGGCGGTAGCTTTATCTGCTGTGCCACAACACTGGCCCCAGACCTAGGTTTTTTATTTCTTTGAAAGGTAGAGCTACAGAGAGATTTTCCATCCGCTCGTTCACTCCCCTGATGGCCACAACAGCAGGAGCTTTGCCAATCTGAAGCCAGGAGCCAGGAGCCTCCTCCCGGTCCCCCATGCAGGTGCAGGGGCCCAAGGACCTGGGCCACCCTCCACCACCTTCCCAGGCCATAGCAGAGAGCGGAATTGGAAATGGAACAGCTGGGACTCAAACTGGCGCCCACATGGGATGCCAGCACTGCAGGTGGCCGCTCCGCTTGCCGCGCCACAGCGCTGGCCCCCAGACCTCGGTTTTTAAAAAGCAGCTGTGATCCCTGCCATGGAGGAGTTTGAGAGCGTAGTTGAGGTTCGAGGACAGCACAGATGGATTACCTAGGCATGGAGGAGACTCTGGAGATGAGTTTCAGGAGTGGGGTGGGGCTGATTAGGAAGCTTCTAGCCTGAAACGACTCTCTCAGAGGACAGGAAAACCACAGAATGAAAGCCCAGGCCAGGATAGTCTTTAACAGTAACTCATTTGCGTCCAAGTTTGGTTGGGGGCTCAGTACAGCTGTGGGTGGGGCCGGGAGACGGGAGAGTGGTGGAGTGCCTGTGAGATTTCTAAGCCCGGGGAGCTGCTGGCACTAGAACTGGGGGGCGGGGCCTCAGCCGAAGGGTACTGGTGAGAGAGTTCAGTGAGCAGTAGGTAGGAGATGGCGAGACCTTTGTGCCTACTGGGGCCAGGGTGCAGGGATGAGAGGGCCTAGAGGAAGGGGTGAGGAGCTCCTGCGCCCGGCACCTACACTGCCTTGGACACTGCAGGCAGCAGCATGGGTGTCAGAGGCCCACTGTGGACAGAGCCCTGCGCTCGGTGCCGGAGCTGAGGTGGGGTTGAAGCAAGCCGGTCCTGACCTCACGAGTATTTCCGGTCTGAAAGGGACGTTAGCGGCTATTTCAGGCAAGTATTCTGAGCTTGGGTTTTTTGCATAATGGCTTCTGTTTGATGAGCATACAGACAAAAACAGCTGCACGCTGGCTCTTCTGCCCCAGGATTTGGGCTCTGAGGTTGATTTCCCAGTGCTCAGCTACGCTGTCTGCGGGTGCAGGAGACACTGCTTTTCTTCCCGGGATTAATTGCTGTTTTCATCCCTTGCAGAAGAAAGGTGAACAACCAACAGGCCAGCAGCGGCGGAAACACCAGATCACGTATCTGATTCATCAGGTGAGAGGGCTGAGGGCCTGGCTCAGGAGTTAGGCTGCTCAGAACTTGGCCCGCTCTCAGGCGTCCTGCCTTGTTCTCCGTGCGGCCGCTAGGGGGGGTGTGTGCTTCTGCGGGATGGGACTCTACCTCTGCCTGCAGACGCTCGGGTGCCGGGCCATGCAGTGAACTCCGTCAGTGAGGATTCAGATCGCCAAACGTGACTGCAGAGGGCCTGAACTAGTTTATCGTAGGATCCTTTTAAATAGCAGTTTTTCCCCTCGTAAGTTAAAAAGCTTGAGAGCTGAGTTGCCAATTTAGCAAAAACATCTACTGGAGACAAAGTTGGTTTTATATTTTCTACTTCTGTGGAGGGAAACATCAGCACTTTTGATTGAGAATTAGAAATAATCCAAAAAATGTCTCTTCGAACTAGACTGTGTTTTTATTTGCTCTGAGCAGGCAGCTTGCAGGTATTTGTCTGACATTGAGCATCCCTTTTGAGGCCTACACAACTAAATGCTGCCAATGACAGACATGAGTAAGACCTTCCCCGGCTCTGCCCAAGTACGGACGTTTGGGTTGGCAGCACAGGGGCAGATCTTGCTTCCATCTGCTTGTTGTACGTTCTCCGTCCTCTGGGGAACCCATGCGCACTCTTTTCCTAGGTTGCGATTTGCATTTGCCCAGGCAGAGTCTTTGTCAAACCCAGATTCTCAACACTGTGGCTGGTGTCAGATAACCCTGGGCTCGGGGAGCCCGTGTTCCAGGGTGGTGTGTGTGCATTCCCAGAATGCAGTGCAGAGCCGGGAGTTGTTGAGACAGAACAAAGTCGCCATTCTTGTGCCACGCAGTTTTGCACAGCTGGCGAGGCTGTCGGGGGTCCCTCCTCCGCTCTGCCCAGCACAGCAGCCCAGCAGTGTCTCCAGACTCGCTCGCTGTTGGGTGGTGGCCTCCCCTCTCTGCCGCTCTGGTCTCTCTCTGAGGGAGCGGACGTGTTCTCCTATAAGATGCCGAATTCTAGTTCTCGCTTGTCCGTTTGCCACTTTAGTGTTTCAGCTTTAATTCTTTTAATTTTGATTTTGTTTATTTGAAAGGCAGAGTTACAGAGAGAGAGCTTCTATCCACTGATTCACTCCCCAAATGGCCACAAAGGCCAGGGCTGGGCCAGACTGAAGCCAGGAACCAGGAGCTTCTTCCAGATCTCCCACGTGGGTGCAGGGGCCCAAGCACTTGGGCTGTGCCCTTTGCTGCTTTCCCAGGCATAGTAGCAGGGAGCTGGATTGGAAGTGGAGCAGCTAGGACTTGAACTGGTGCCCATATAGGATGTTGGCACTGCAGGCGGCGGACTTACTGCTATGCCACAGTGCCTGTCCCATTGGTTTTAATTTTACCAGGAGATATATCGGGATTCCTGAGTATTTTTTGTGGTAAAACCTTGTTAGCTTCTGAAAGGGATGATTTCGCTTTGCTTTCTTATAGTCTTGGCCTTCTGCTTCTGTGTGGCTGAGGGGATTTGCGGCTTTCCCTGTAACTCTTAGGATCGGGGACTGTTTTAAAGTTGGGGAGGCGCGATGGAAGTGTCTCTCAGGATCCCCGTCTGACTGCCCCACCCTCCTTCTTGCTGCAGGCTAAGGAGCGGGAGCTGGAGCTGAAGAACACCTGGTCGGAGAACAAGCTCAGCCGCCGTCAGACCCAAGCCAAATACGGATTCTAGGGCTCTGGAGCTGCTCGCCCCCAGGACCGCCTGCCAGCCCAGCTGGCCTGGCCCCCGGCGCAGCCTCTGGGACCCCAGCTGCTCCAAGCCCAGGACCTCGCTCCCTGAGGACCCAGCCCTCGCCTCTGCGAGAATGAACATATTTGATAGATTTTTCTTACCACAAGTTAGAAAATTCAGCTCCTTTCTGTCTTGGAGCTAGCAAAGGCTCGAGCCATGCCTAAGGGGAGGCGCTGAGGTCCAGGACGGGCGCTCTGCTCCCTCTGCGTGTGTTGAGATGGTGACCCCTCCCCGCTACTTTTTTTTTTTTTTTTAAACCAGGGATGTCTGTTCAAATAAAACCTTCAGTCTGACAGACACCGGCTGCCCTGTCGCTGGCACTCCGGGTTGACCACGTGGAAAGCGCTCTGCAGGCCGTCTGAGTTGCCCGCCCATTGCCGAGCTCAGGCGTCTCCAGAGCCTGGGGGAGGTCGGGAGCTCCTGGGGCACGAAAGAGTGGTTAGGCCTGGCGCTGCCTCCAGCAGGGAGTGCAGTGTGGTGTCTGTCCCCAGAGCCGATTCACGTGTACCCTGCTGGTCACAGGCCGAGAGCTCAGCAGCTACACAGATAGCGGAGACTTCAGGTCCCGACCAGGCTGGGGAAGGGAGGTGGCGGGGCCTGTAGGCTGCAGCGAGCTGCTGGGCACCGCGACAGGACCTGACGGATGGCATGACTGCTTCCTGTCAGGGCAAAGGTCAGGTAGGGCGGGTCACGAGAGCAGCATGCAGATCATAGCCCAAACTACCCCTGACACGCGGCAGAGGGTGCAGGGCTCCAGGAGGCGGCTGCCGGGGCTTCCTGCAGGAGAGGCAGGTTGAAAAGCCACCTGCAGGAGGACCCTTGGATGCGGCTGGGGGAGCCACTGACCAGATGTAGATACCGGAGACCAGTTCCAGGAGCACCTGGAGAGGATTGGTGTTGGGTGGTCCCTGGGACAGAGAGGCCAGGAGGGCAGTGTGAGGAAGTGGGGGGGGAGGCAGGAGTGAGGCGTCTCCCGTGCCTCTGGGTCTGGTGCTGGGGTAAGTTGAGGAGTCTGTTTCTCATTAAGTACAGAGGAGGGTTTCATCACTTACAGGAAAACCACCGCTTATCTGAAATCTGACCTACTTCGGGTACAGCCAGACAGGGCTCCTGCGTCCCACAGGGACACTTGGGCTGGAGTTGTCCGAATCTGTGCATCCAGCCAGCCCTCGGCAAGGAGACCGGCTCCTCCCACACTCCTGCCGTGCATGGAGGCCAGGGCCCTGCTCTGTCCCCTGGGGTGTCTGGGGGGCGAGGGAGGCTCAGCAGGGCCCAGGAGTCTAGAGATGCTGAGTCAAACGCGTGCTTTCCTGTATGCAGCGTGGCCGACGTGGCCCTTCCCACCTGGACTGCCCCGCTCTGGGGATCACCAGTTCCACTTTCTCGCCCTGGGGACTCATGTGGGAGCTGTGGGGAGGCTGAGTCCCAGTCTCGGAAGGGGCAGAACTCGGGAGACATCCCGCGGGGGTCCTCTTGGCTCCGGCCTTCGCAAATTCTCCCCAGGTAGTCTTAGGCTCCCCTCCAATGGCCCCTTCCGCTCCCTCCCCTTTGAAAGCCATTTTTTAGTTCTACGAAACACGGCAATTTATTTGGTGGCTGGGACTCCCTGGTCGCCAGGGTCATACTAGCAGGGCAGAAGATGAACAGCCTTCATTTGGGAGGGCTTCTTGGAGGTAGCACCTCAGGTTCTCATGAGTGAACAGGAAGGCAGAGGGATACACGGTGAGGAAGAGAGAACAGGTGGAACTTGGTAGAATGCGCCTGGCTCGGAGGCGGCTGCCCCTGGTCCCGGTGTTGCACTGGCTGGGACGCGGGGCTGGGGTCGCAAGCAGAGATGGCGGAACTGCTGTAATGCGGTTTCAGGGGCTCCCCGCGCCACCCGGCGCTGAGGAGGGCGGGGCCGGCTGTCTTCACCCCCACTGGGTGCCGACCTTGCTGTTGAGAAACCCCAATATGCTGAGGAGCCAGTTGAGGTTGTGGCGGCGGAAATGCAAGGGTGTGGGAATGATCTGGGTGGCCTTCGCCCGCCTCATGCTCAGCTGTGAGGTGAGGGCTGGCAGAGCTGAGTAAGGGGGACAGCTGGCCCCCAGCCCTCCCCAAGGGGCTTGTAGAATGTCAAGTGGATGCTCCGTGAGCTTTTGGTGTGCCCGCAGGGGTGTGAGGGGGTGGTAAGAGACTCATTCCGCAGGTGTAGAGTGCCGTGGGCCACAGAGGCCTGGTGGGAGGGGTGGGTGCACCGTGGGTGGCCGTCTGCTGAGAAGTGCCCTCCCTGTCCCGGCAGGGTGGAGGCTGGCCGGCTGTAGGGGAACCCTGCTCAGCATAATGGCCCAGTACCACTGACTCAACTCCTCCTCTTGAGGTCTCCCCGCAGGCCCTGGCCTCCACGTGGGAGTGAGGGCAGCAGGCCGGGGCAGGGTGCCCCCGCTTGAGAGGGGAAGGGAGTTTCTGCCACCTTGGCCTTCAGGGCTGGGCTGCAGCTGGAGCCCTGGGCAGCACTGGGCCTTCATCCTTTTCCCTGGTTGAACACTGGGCTGGAATAATATCTGGGCCCCGCGGCAGGCACTGTGGTGCCGTAGGTGGTAGCCCCACTTGGGATGCCCACGTCCCACACTGGAGTGTCTGGTTGGAGTCGTGGCTGCTCCACCCTTCCAGACCAGTTTCTCCCTAACGTGCCTGGGAGGCAGCAGATGGTAGCCCAGATGCTTGGATCCCTGCCACCCATGTGGCCCGGTTGTGGTTCCTGGCTCCTGGCTTCAGCCTGGCCCAGCCATGGCTGTTGTAGGCATTCGGGGAGTGAACCAGTGGATGGAGGATCTCCCCTCCCCATCTCTCTTGTCTTACCTTCTCTGTCACTCAAGTAATAAATAAATCTTTTCTAAAAACACGGAGTCAGGCCCTGGGGCCTGCCTGCCTCCAGCTCCCTGTCTCCTGCCCTCTCTAGATTGAGCCCCAGTCAGTTACAGAGGCTCTCCGGTTCCCTTCTAGCCCCAGCAGCCCTGCCTTTCCAAGCTCTTTGCTTGCATGGGCTCCGGTACAGCAAGCCCTGAGCAGATGAGGAGGCCTGAGCTCCCTCTGGTAAGGGGCGGGGGGCACAGCGGCACAGAGGGGGACTCCCTCGTGAAGGCTGCACGGCCGGCCGGCAGCGCTGTGGCAGGGGCCCGGGGCTCCTGAAGGCATCCTGTCCCCTGGATTCTGCCGCTGCTTCCGTGTGTGCCCTCCAGGCTGAAGAAGGAAGGGGAGGGGCCTGGGGCTTTGCTGCTCCACAGCAGGTGGGTCACGGGGCGTTTCTGGCCCCCTCCCTGCACCTGCCCAAGGCAGAGGGAAGCCTTTCTGTCCTGTTTTCCCTCTTCCATCTCTGCTGCCTTTACAGAAGCCACTCTTCAGCCCCCTCTCTCTGCCATGAGGCATCGGCCACGTGGTGTCTCCCTGAGCCTCGTCAGACCTTGCACGTTCAGCAAAGCCATCTGCTTTCCCGCTCCCTCTCCCTTTCCCCCCGCCTCACCGCCCCTCTGAGGGCCTCTAGACCCGTGGACAAAGGAAGCGGAACCCCAACTCTGTTGACTCAGCAGCCATGTTGCTCCTCCAGCTGAGAGCACCGGAGTGGAAAGCGGGGGAACTGGCTGTCATTGAGCTGCCGCCGGGCCGCCTGGGGGGCATGAGTTCCCTAAGCAGCCAGGCCTAGAGACCACGTTTGAGGAAGCATTTCTGGGCCTCACACAGGCACAGGGCCCCTGAACAGGTGTGCAGGAACAGGCTGACCAGGTGGGACCCACCAGTACCAGGCCTGAGCAGCTTCCAGGGCGAGCTCTGTTCAGCCCTGAGGGCCATCCAGGAGCAGACCTGGCCCTGCCTGGAAAGCCCCCAGTCCCAGCCAGGGCAGATACTTCCAGGGGGTTGGAGCTGGGGCGGCAGCTGGCCTGGAGGTGGGCGTGGGCAGAGAAGGAGGGGAGTAGGGAGGTATCACAAAAGGATGGGAGTGGGCAGGGGGCCTGAGCCCTGGGGGTCAGGAAGGCCTTGCAGGGGGCTCCCCCTGCCGCCCCTCTTCACCAGCACCCCCAGGTGAGGCAGCCACCCCTCTGCCCCAGGCTGGCCGCTCGGCTCACCCCGATTGGGGATGGCATCTTTTGCAGACAGAGGTCTGTGTCTCTTGCCTTGGAGTGGCGCAGCCAGCAGATGTGTGGCCCTTGCCCAGGTGCCTCTGAGCCCCCAGACCCTCTGCCCTCGCTGCAGTGACCGTTCAAGCACTTGCCTTCCACAGTGCAAGAGAGACAGAGGCGCAGAGACCGAGACAAGAGCCTGGAGGACTTGGATCCCTATGCGGGGAGGTTGTTGGTGATGATTTATTAGCCAGACAAGAATCAACAAACAAGTTCCAACATCTGTTCTCACCAAACCATTCCTCAGACAACAGCAGCATTGGACCAGAGCCCAGACTCAAAGGTGCAGAGGGCCAAGGAAATTAGACTCCAGGAGGAGAAATGGGGCTGCGGGAGCCAGCAAGGCTCTCCTAGCACACTTCCCGGCTGTCCTACAGGGTGGCCAACCCCCGAGCCACTGGGTTCCTGGGGACTCCCGGGAGGGAGCCAGTGTTCCTAGGAGGAAGCAGACCCCACATCTGCGTCTCAGACCTCCAGGCTTCTTGGGTGGTGGGTGGTGGTGTCCAGAGGAGGGGACCCTGCACCCAGGCACCCATGCAGCAGGACTGGGGAAAGCAGCCAGGTTTCCTATTTGAGGAAATCTCTGATGCTTCCTGTGCAGAGAGCCGGTGGATGTGGGGTAAGAACAGAGCACTAAACGGGGGGATCAGGAAGCCTGGGTTCTCAGTCCTTGACCTTGGTGTGTCACCACCATCCCTCTCTGGCTTCGTTTTCTCATCTGCCTCCAGAGGGAGGTGGACTTGATCAGTAAGGGCAAATGAAATGCTGCTGCTGCTCCTCCTCCCTCCCTCTCCCAGGGCAGACATCACTAATCAATCACGGGGTTCTTTTCTGCTGAGTTCAGACATGACCTTAATATCCTTTCCAAGGCAGCGCTCTAGGCAGCCACGACCAATGGATTGGAGTTGGCATGCGAGATGACACCTCTTTGCCAACCTTGCAATAGATGAGGCTGAGGCCCTTTCCAGCTTCGATCACCCATGCTTTGTTCCACCCGCGTTTCCTGAGACGGCCGCCCAGGTGTGTGTGAACCCGATGTTCCAAGTTATCCTGACTCACCACCTACTGAGGAGGCCCAAGGGGTCCTCTGTCCTGAAGCACCTGTCTAGAAAGGTTGTGGGGGAGGGTGTGCCTCCAGGGCAGCGGGGGCTGCTGGGGCAGGGGAGGGCCTTGTCCAGCCACGGCGCTCTCAGATGGCAGCTGCCCGCCACATGGGTTCTGTAGAGAGAAAAACAATTGCAGGTCTCTCTACCTTCTGTCTCCTGGGACTGCCTGCAGCTCAAGGGCTAAGATGCTTGATCCTTATTAGGACTATTGTCTTTGACTTCCAGAGTGGGGGCCCAATCCCTTTCATTCATTCATTCATTCATTCATTCAACAAGCATTTCCTGAGCACCTGTTCCATGCCAGGCACCAGGCTGAGTGTTTTGGAAACAGAGCTGGGTGGGTCCCGGTCCCTGCCCTCAGGGAGCTCCCACTCTCTTGGGGAGCTAGAGAGATGGGAAGGGAGGGTGTCCCCGGTGACCAGTGGCAGGGCAGGTGCAGTGCGTGGCTTCTGTGGTCCGAGAAGGGAAGCCTCTGGAGAGAAGTAGGCACTCAGCAGGAAGTAGTGGCGTGGGGGTGTGTGGGAAGAGGGAGATGGTTGAGCGGGCCCTAGGACTCAGGCTGGAGAAATCGCAGTCAGGATACGGAACATGGCAGGGAGGGAGCAGTCGGGGCTAGGGCCAGAGCAGCGCTGGCTGTGCTGGGTTTGAGGAACCATGGGGCACCATGGAGCTGACCAAGGGCATGGAGAGAAGTTGGGGCGGAGATGCGGACATCGGCTCTAGGACAGCAGTCGTTGGCAGAGGTGCGGGTGAATGAGAGCAGGCACAGGGCTGTGGGGCCTGGGGCGCAGCAGAGAGGGAGGGTAGAGAAGGGCCTGAGGGGGCGGGGTTGAGGGCAAAGGTGGGAGCAGCCAGTGGTTCTAACACACTGGACCCATCAGTGAGAAGTGGGGGGTGGGGAGTGCGGATGTGCCTCGCCTGAGCTCATCCGAGGTCCCCAGGGTCCCCAGTGCTCTTCTCCAGGATGGCAGGGCCTTGACGTGGGGTGGACCCCAGGTGCTTCCACAGAGGGACTGAGGGACGAGACGGCCGAGAGCCCAAGGCAGGCTCCAGCGAGGGAAGGCCGGGGTGCCTGGGCTGGGCTGAGTGACCAGGCCGGGGTGGGGGGGGACAGGGGACCCACCCGGGCTGGAGCAGGTTGCTAACAGCCTAGACGGTTCTGTCCCTCTCCTCTCACCTCGCCCCTGACCTTAGCCCTGACCCAGGCTCCACGTCTAACCTGCAGGAAGTCCTTCCCCTGCACTCCTGCTTACCTGGCCTCCCGGGACCGGCCTGGACCAGCACTTCCGGAGCATGGGGTGCCCGGCCGTGGCGGACGGCACTTCCACCTCCTCATAGATGTTGCCAGGGGCCTCCCTGGGGCTGCCCTGGCCCATGGCGTAGAAGGCTATGGGCTCATCAGGCTCGTGGTAGATGGGGTTGGTGGGCTTGGGGGGTAGGGCCGGGCGGGGTCGCGGAGCGGGGCTTGTGTAGACTTCCGGCGGTGGCTGGGGTTTGGCAGGCACAGGAGGCTTGGGCCTGGGCGGCTGGCAGAGCTAGCCAGAGAGCAGGAAGAGTCCGTGAGAGTAACTGAGGCAGGGCCAATCTCCTTCCTGTGCAGGCTCCGCCTCCTCCCTCTGGCCCCACCCCAGCCCTGCCCCCACCCTCACCGCTCCTGCCCAGTACCTCCTTTGGCTCCCAGGCCCCCTCTGTCCGTGTTGGGGCCGGGGCCTGCCCCTGCTTGATGACTGTGCTGTACTGGGGGTTTGGATCCTGGCTTTTGCCTCCAGAGTCTGCCTCTTCAGTCCTCAGGGAAAGTCCCGCAGGCTCCGGAGTCTGCTGGGGAAGAAGGAGGCCTGAGAGACGTGGTGCCACGCCTGGCGGGATGGAGGGTGGGCAGGTGACCCTCGAGGTCCAAGTGAGGGACGGCGGAGGGTGAGATGGACACAGAAATTTGGCCTGGGCTGGGTCCCCTAGGGGAGAAGACGGAAGAGGCCAGGGAGGTACAGGCTCTGGGCTCAGGCTGGAACTGGAATTGAACTTGATTTCATGTGGAACACAGGGCCAGGCCAGTCTGCATTTGTGCCTGTGCTTGCAAAAATGCAACAAAGAGAGCAGCGTGGTGGCGTAGTGGGTTAAACTGCCTCCTGTAGTGCCGGCATCCCATGTGGGCGCCGGTTCATGTCTCAACTGCTCCACTTCCAATCCAGCTCCCTGCTAATGCACCTGGGAAAGCAGCAGGAGATGGCTCAAGTACTCGAGACCCTGCAGCCACATGGGAGACCTGGATAAGGCTCCTGGCTTCCGGCTTCCACCTGCCCCCCCTTTTCTCTCTCTCTCTCTCTTTTCCCTCCCTCCCTTCCTCCTGCTCTCTCTAACTCTGCCTTTCAAATAACTGAGTAAAGCTTTAAAAAACGTGACAAAGCCTTAGGAGACTTTCTACGAAGCAATCAGCCCGGGGACCGACCTGTACGACTGCTGAGCCTGCGTTAATTTCTGCAGGGGGGAGCAGGTCACATGTGGAGATACACCGCTGCATCAGGGACGCAGCCGGCCGGCCTCGTAGCAGGAAGCTACCGTCCTGCAGGTGTGCTTCTAGCTCAGTGTTAGCCCCAGGCTCGAATGCCTGCTGCCTTTGGTAGGCTAAGGCCACAAGGCTTTTTCTCAGGCTCCTGCGAGCCACAGGTCTCCATCTGGGGGTGCACTGCAGGCTTAAGGGGTCCAAGTCAGATTTCTCTCTCCATGCTCCCCACCTTTGCCCACCCATCCCAAAGGAGCCCCTCCTCCCTGCTATGCAAACAATGCCTTAGGAGGCAGCCCTGGCACCTCTGCCTCAAATCCAGGGTGAGCAGAGCTCCCTTCCCCTGCCTGAATGCCTCTCACATGGGCTGCCTTCCTCCAGCCCCGCAGCCACCATGCTTGGCCAGGCCTCCTCCCCGATGCTCCTGCCTGTCAAGCCGTTCTCCAGGCTTGGGGCAGGGGTGATCTTACACAGACGCCCTCACAGTCCTCCCATGGCTGCCGCTGCTCCGGGATAAATGGACTCCTGAGAGCCTGAGTGACTGGCACAGTTCCCCGAGGGCCGCATGGCCTCTCCCTCACCGCCGCCTCCCTGCACTCAGTTCCTGCCGCTTGGGCGTCTTCGGGTCTCTGCCTCTTCCTCACCATTGGCACTCTCCCCACTTCTTTTGAGTTGACCCCAATCAAGCTCCGTGGAGCTGCTCTCATTGGAGTCACCAGTGGCTTCCTCTCTGAAATCCAAGGTCAAGTCCTGAGCTGCCACGGCCGCTCACCCTTGCTGGGCTGGCTTGGCTGCCGGAGCTCCGAGCCGTCCTGGTTTTCCTCTCGGCTCTGGCTGCTCGGCTTTCTCTGCAGGTTCCCCTCGTGTGTGCAGGCTGCAGGTGCACATCTTCCCTCCTCCTCCATCGACACTGACTGCGGCAGGCCCCGCCCCAGCCCCAGCCCCAGCCCCAGACGCTTCAGAGCCCCTCTCCGCGCTGACGACTGCCCAGCATTTATCCCCGGCCCAGGCCTCAGACACGTGGACACCCTCGTTTGCATGTTGAACAGACATCCCGAGCTGTGCATGTCCCAAACTGAACTTCCCCCATCGCCCACCCCTGCTGGACCGACTGCTCCTACAGCTGTCCTCATTCAGACAATGACAACTCCACCTTTTCACACTTCTCTTCCAATGCTGCAAACAGCCCCGCAGCTCTGCCTGCTATGCAGGGCCACGCTCCTCACTCCTCCACGTCGGCTGCCCTGGCCCCGGCTGCCAGCACCTCGCCTGACATACGGCAGGAACCCCACGTCTAGCAGCCTCCTCCTCACCTCTCCTGAGCTGCCGGGTCACACGACTCCTCGGCTTGCCACTCTGCAGAGTCATCCCCCACCCCCCACTCGGTGTAACCTTCCAGATCCATACAGGCCCCCTTCCCTCACCTCCCTGTTCTTGTCTCCTACCTGCCTCACCCTCAGCCGCCCCGATGCACCCCAGTTAGTGATCCTCCAAACACATCAAGCACCCTCAGGGCCTTTGCACCTGCTCTTTCTGCTGTCTAGAGCACGTTTCCCCCAGTTCTCTGCAGGGCTCCTTCTATTACTCCATTCAGGCCTCTGATGTCCCCGTGAGAGTGACCTCCCTCGATGTCCCTGTGTGAAACAGTCGCTCCCTTTCCCATTCACTACTGCGCACTGCTTGTTATCTGCACCATTTGCTGTCTATCTCCTCCGAGGGAAGCTCCGTGAAGGCAGGGATATTTCGTTCAGCTTCGCTCACTGCTGTCCTCCTGGCGTGCAGAACAGTGCCGGTACACAGCGCCGCTCAGAGCTGCTGAACTTGTAACCAGGGAGGCGTTCCCTGCGGGCTGTGTGGTTTCTCCCGGCTGCACACTGCGTGCTTGGTTCCTATCAGTCTTTGCTTCCTAAGAGAAAGCTTTGTGCGTTTGAAACCTGTCTGCCTTGTCCTTGGGTCATTCCCACGGCCTGCCGGCCCCTGGTGTGCCCTCCCCACCCCTCCTGTCCATGTGGCTGGGCTGGTCTCTCAGGGTCTCTTCTGCCCCGTTCTTTCTCCAATGACTTCCCATGGTGGTGAGTAGGCAGGGGAGGTATGGCTGGGGCCACAGCCCTGGGCCTGGGCTCTGGGTGGGGAGGATCATGGGCCTGGGTCCTTGGGTCTTGGGTCAGGTGTGTGTGTGGGGGGGCGGGGCCGGGGGTCGGCGGCGTACCTGGCGGGCGAGGGGCTCCGTGAGGGTCTCTCCGTAGGGGCTGAGCGGGCAGGCCGAGTAGTGCTGCAGCAGGTCCTGCAGCCGCGTGTGGGCGCTGTCCTCGCCCAGCACCACGTGGCGCCCGTCCGCGAGCTGGGCCAGCAGGAAGTGGCGGCAGCAGGTCCGGCTCCTGGGCGGCACCATTCGGGGTTAGAAGCTCTCCCTCCCTGCTGCCAGGGCCAGCGGCTGGAGGTGTGACCCTTAAGCCCCTACCTACTCTGTGATAGGGTCCACACCAAGCCCCCCACCCCCCGCCCCGCATCAGTTATCCCGGAGCCCCGCCTCCGCGCCCTCAGCACCTGTACGTCAGCACGAAGGTCACGGCGCTCTCGCTGAAGCGCACCAGGTAGCATCCCGGAGGCTTGGGCTCCAGCAGCCTCTCGGCCTCCCTGTGGGTGTCAGAGAGAGGGGGCGGAGCCTTGCTCTGACTCATCTGCCGCGACTTCTGTCTCCCTACTCTCACCAGGGATCCCTAACTTGAGCAAGGGCTAGGGTGCAGGTGGGGAGAAGAGGGCGCTTGGGTCCGCGTGGACGGGCTGGGATCCTACTCCGGAGACCCCTGAGCCCCGCGGCCTCCAGGAGCCTCGTCCTCCAAGGGTGGCTTGGAGAGAGAGGGTACACTGGAGCCTAGAGAGGGGAAACTGAGGCATGGGCACGGTGTTGGGCTGGAGTCGCTCCAGTGCTCTCCAGGAGAGAGGTTTCCGTGTAAGCCCAGGAGACCCTGGGAGCCAGTGCCTGGGCTGGTGGCCTCCGTCTCCCCCTGCCTGAGGACCCGAGACTCTGCTCTGGGTCTGCCCCTCTTCAGGCCTCTCTCCACCCCTGTGACTCACTTCCGGGTGATGAAGCCGTGGAACCAGGCAGGGGCGGCCCCGTCCTGCAGGAGCTGGTGGGCCTGGGTCCTCTGGAACCAAGCCCGGGCCTCGGCCTGCAGGGTCAGGCCTCCTTCTCCAGGCACCTCCTCAGCTCTCTCTGCTGGCGCTGGGATGGGGGCAGCCCCCGAGGCCTGGGGCCATACCTGGACAGGGGAAGAGGGGAAGGAGGGGAAGTGGCCACGATGGAGGGGCCGTCCGCTGCCTCCGTGCTGGCAGCCGCCCTTGCCCTCCTGCCTGTCCCTCCTGGCTAGTTCAGGCCCTGATTGCCCAGAGGAGCCTCCTGAGACTACCGACTCAAACTTCACTCCAGCGGCCTGCTTCCCAGACTCTCGCCCTTGCCTTGTCTCTGGGTCCCGGGGGCACTTGGAACCGTGGGCTGGTGCACTGCTCCAAAGGGCTGAGAGGCAGCAAGGTCTTCCCACGGGACGGAAAGCCATGGGGCTGAAGGGAGTCACCCTGTGCAGAGGCCTCGCTGAGCGAGAGTTCCCAAGGACTGTGTGGATGGAAAGGGCTGGGACGGCACCTGGGAGAGGCTGGGCACACCAAGACACCTGCTCCTGCCACGCAGGGCTCTGCACCTGGCCGCCTGTGGGCTCGGCTGAGCTTCCCAGGAGCAGAGAAGTGGCGCGGGGCCAGCCCGGCGTGGGAAGGAGGCACTGCCCGCCATCTTTGTCTCCCTCCGGGCCCCTAGCCTGTTGGCACCTGCACTTCATCCCAGCTTCCTCTCCTGCTGACCTTGTCCACCTGCTAGTCCTCACCGTGGAGGGGTGGGAGGAGACGAGGGAGCTGCACGCCCACCCCAGGGTCCCACTCACCGTGGTGTGGACAGCCAGGGCCCTGGGGCTGGGCTGGGCTTCCTCGCCCCTCAGGGCCTGCAGTCTGGGCCTGGGGAGCAAGCCAAGGCCCTGGCAGCTCCCGCGGGTCGAGTCCATGGTCTGGGACGTGCTGAAGGTTGGGCTGGGGGCTCCGTGATTTCCTGTTAGCATAAAGGGGTGCTCAGGGGGGTGCTGCCTCTCTCTCTGCCTCCCACCCCTCTCTGCCAGGCTCAGAGGAACCCCACATTCCCCGAGCAGAGGCCTGGGGACAGGGAGACGCAGAGGGGATTTGTCAACCCTGAGGAGTAGGGAGCCCAGGGGGCACAGAGGGACGGCGGCTATCAGAGGGGGCGGCCAGGGAAGCGGGGTGCCAGGAGGGAGGGCTGGGAACAAGGCTGGGAGCCCCCCAGGTGGAGAGGTAGCTCCCTTCAGAGCAGGCCCTGTTTGGGCCTGGGATCCTCACCTACCGTGCACTTCGTCTTCTTGCTCCCTCGCCTTGCCTGCCTTTGCGCCCAGGGAGGATGGGCCCGGAGCTCCCCCAAAAGGGAATGGGGGAGGGGGGCGAGCTCTCTCACCCCTGAGGTGGGCGCTCAGGCTGAGGAGAGAGAGCAAGGGTGGTGGCTGTGCTGACGTCTGTCCCCGCACTGACGTCTGTCCCTACACACCGAGCCCCGATCTTGAACATTGCACTTACCTTGGGGGCATATCTGGGCCAAGGGCACCTCCATGGGGCAGCCTATGAGGGGCCCCCAGCACAGGGTGGGTGTCTGGGCTCGCCCGAGGTGTGCATGCTCAGCAACTCCTGGCTCCCCTCGCCCTAGCCCCCGGGACAGGAAATGTCGCCTCACCCACAGCCCGCGCCCGCCCGGCAGAAGACTCGCGTCACGGAAAGCACTGAGGCAGGTGTCCCGCCCCCGGAAGTGGGGCAGCTGACGGTGGTGCAGTGGCCTGGTGGGGCTGCTGTTCCTGTCACTTGGTGTTGACGTGTTGGGAAGTCCTGGCTGATGTCTGCTCTCCACCCCTCCAGATGCTGTCTCTGCGCCCCAAGCCCAGGCTCGGACTTCCTTTTCTTTCTTTCGTTGTCTCAGCTTCTGACTTCTTCCTGGGAAACCTCCCAGTCTGGCTCTCGTTCTGCTCTGAGCGGTGGGAATGGGGAGCTTCTTCTGGGTCTCCTACACAGGTGCAGAGGCCCAAGAACTTGGGTCATCTTCTACTGCATTCCCCAGGCCGCAGCAGAGAACTGGATCGGAAGGGGAGCAGCTGGGACTTGAGCTGGCGCCCATATGGGATGCTAGTGTCACCGGCGCAGGTTTTACCAGCTACCCACAGCGCCGGCCCCTATGCCTTTTCCTTAATGCTAGGAAGTACAGAGAGCAACGTCTTGTCCTATATAGCTAACTCCAAGCCAGGGATTTTGGAATGAAGGTGGTGATTGTGGGAATCCAAGGAGATAACACACACAATGGAGTGAAAAAATATCTTTAAAAAATTTGTTACTCCTATCATTTAAAAAAATCTTTATTATTTGAGAGGCAGAGTGACAGAGAGAGACAGAGATCCTTCATCTGCTTGCTTCGCTCCTCCCAAAGGCCTGCAGCAATCAGGGATGGGCCAGGCCAAAGCCAGGAGCCAGGAACTCCATCCAAATCTCCCATGTGGGTGGCAGGGACCCATGTCCTTGGGCCACAATCCACTGCCTCCCAGGCACAGTAGCAGGAAGCTGCATCAGAAGTGTGGAGAAGCCAGGTCTTAACCAGGCACTCTGATGTGGGTGCAGGCATCCCAGTAGATGGCTTAACCCACTGCACCACAATGCCTACCCCTGTTTCTACCCGTTGCAGTAAGGGGACAAACTGATGAGTTTTTCCTTTTACCTTCCTACCCTACGTGTGCAGACTTGACCCATAGCCCACCATTGCCTTGTCTAATCAGTTATGATTTGGTAAATAACTGCCAGGGCCTGGCTTGGTCTTATTTGAGGATCTCCTGTCACCAGTTTACAGGTAGGACCACTGAGATCAAGACTGAGACACACAGATTCAGAGAGCAGGTGTTTAGGCTGGTGGTTACGACTCCCACATCCTGCATCAGAGTATCTGGATTCGATTCCTGGCTCTGGCTCCTGACTTAGCTTTCTGCAATGATGACTCAACCGACTGGGTTCCTGCCACTCACACAGGAGACCTAGGTCTTGTTCCTGCTTTGAGTTCCCAGCTTTGACCCCAGCCCAAAGCCAGCTGTCACAGGCATTTGAGAAGTGAACCAGTGGATGTTGAGTGTGCTGCCTTTCTCTCTCTCTGCCTCTCAAATAAATAGAAAATAGTAAATAATTTTATTTTTAAAAATTTCTTAAAGATTATTTATTTGAAATACAGAGTTATAGAGAGGCAGAGGCAAAGGCAGAAAGAGAGAGAGAGAGAGAGAGAGAGAGAGAGAGAGAGATCCTCCATCTGCTGGTTTACTCCCCAGATGACTTCAATGGCTGGAGCTGGGCTGATCCGAAGCCAGGAGTCAGGAGCTTCTTTTGGGTCTCCCACATGAGTGCAGGGACTCAAACAACTGGGCCATCTTCCACTGCTTTCTCAGGCACATTAGCAGGGAGCTGGATCAGAGTGAAGCAGCTAGGACTCGAACAGATGCCCCTATGGGATGCTGGCGCTGTAAGCGGAAGCTTTATCCACTATGCCACAGAAGTAGCCCCTGAAAATAGTAAATAATTTTACAAAGACTCAGCTTTAGTCATACAATGAGAACATTAATCTGAACCTGAGGCTTCCATGTGGGACTTACTTTCTTTCTTTCTTTCTTTCTCTCTCTCTCTCTCTCTCTCTCTCTCTCGATTCATTTATTTGAAAGTCAGAGTTACACAGAGAGAGGGAGGCAGAGAGAGAGAGAGAGAGAGAGAGAGATCTTCTATCTGATGGTTCACTCCCCAATTGGCTGCAGTGGCCAGAGTTGTGCCGATCTGAAGCCAGGAGCCAGGAGCTTCTTCCGGGCCCCCAACGCGGGTGCAGGAGCCCAAGGGCTTGGGGGCATCTTCTACTGCTTTTCCAGGCCATAGCAGAGAGCTGGATCGGAAGAGGAGCAGCTGGGACTAGAACCATATGGCATGCTGGAGCTTCAGGCCAGGCCTTTAACCCACTGCATCACAGCGCCGGCCCCTGCTTTCATGTTGATGACAGCTGAGGAGAGCAGAAAAGGAGCAGGGCTTTCAACGCCTTTAACTATTGCTGGAGCAAAAGAGCCCTGTGTGGCTTTCCTTGGGAAGATCAGTTTCAGGCTTCAAGAAAACCAGAATCTTAGGGGCTGGTGTTGTGACAAACCGGGTTAAACTGTTGCTGGCGACAACAGCATCCCATATCCAAGCACTGGCTCAAGCCCAGCTGCTCCTGCTTTGATCCAGCTCCCTGCTAATGCACCTGGGAAGGCAGTGGACTATGGCCCAAATACATGGGTCCAGGCCACCCCGACCTGGATGGAGTTCCTAGCTCTTGGCATTGGCCTGGCCCAGCCCTGGACAGTGCAGCCATGTGGGGAGTGAGCCAGAGGATGGAATCTCTCACTTTCTTTCTGTCTCTCCCATTTTCTCTGTGTCATTCTGCTTTCTAAACAAGTAAATCTTTTTTTTAAAATTTATTTCCCCCCAAAGAAACCTTTTATTTAAGGAATACAGACTTCATGCATTTCACAAGTACAACTTTAGGAATATAGTGATTCTTCCCACCATACCCGCCCTCCCACCCACTCTCCTACCTCTCCTCCTCCCTCTCCCATTCTCCACTAAGATCCATTTTGATTAACTTTATGCACAGAATACCAACTCTATACTAAGTAAAGTGTTCAATAATTTGCATGGGAAAAAAAACAAAAAACAAAACAAAACAAACAAAAAACTGTTCCTCAACAGTTGAGACAAGGGTTGTTCAAAGTCATTGTATTTTGAAGTTAATTTCACTTTTTTCCCCCTAGAAACTTAATTAAATTTAAAGAAGCACCCAAGAGTGATAAACTTTTGTGATTATTCAGACTTAATTATAATGCAACTCTTTGAGATCAGAGGTCTTGATGGGAAGTTAGTGTATGGTGACTCTTGTTGTTAATTTAACAATTAACACTCTTATGTATGACATCAGTGATCATCTGAGGCTCTTGACATGAACTGCCTAGGCTATGGAAGCCTTTTGAATCCACAAACTCTGTCAGTATTTAGACAAGGCCATAAGCAAAGTGGAAGTTCTCTCCTCCCTTCAGAGAAAAGTACCTCCTTCTTTGATGACCACTTCTTTCCATTGTGGTCTGACCCACCGAGGTCCTTCATGTAGGGCATTTTTTTTTTTGATAGGCAGAGTTAGACAGTGAGAGAGAGAGACGGAGAGAAAGGTCTTCCTTCCATTGGTTCACCTCCCAAATGGCCACTATGGCTGGCACGCTGTGCTGATCTGAAGCCAGGTGCCAGGTGCTTCCTCTTGGTCTCCCATGCAGGTGCAGGGCCCAAGCACATGGGCCATCCTCCATTGCCTTCCCAGGCTATAGCAGAGAGCTGGACTGGAAGAGGAGCAACCGGGACAGAACCGGTGCCCCAACTGGGACTAAAACCCGGAGTGCCAGTGCCACAGGCAGAGGATTAGCCTAGTGAGCGATGGCGCCAGCCATGTAGGACATTTTTTTTTGCCACAGTGTCTTGGCTTTTAGTGACTGAAATGCTCTTGTGAGCTTTTCAGCCAGACCAGAATGCCTTAAGGGCTGATTCTGAGGTCAGAGTGCTATTTAAAGTGATTAAAAAAAAAACAAACTGTTCCTCAACAGCCAAGACAAGGGCTGTTCAAGTCGTTGCTTCTCAAAGTGCTAATTTCACTTCTATAGATTTCTGTGTGAAAGCCATTCTAACTGGGGTGAGGTGAAACCTCATTGTGGTTTTGATTTGTATTTCCCTGATGGCTGGTGATCCTGAGCATTTTTTCATGGTCTATTGGTCATTCGGATTTCCTCTTTTGAAAAACGTCTGCCTAAGCCCTTTGTCCATTTCGTCACTGGGTTGTTTGTTGTTGTTGAGTCTCACGATCTATTTATATATTCTGGTTATTAATCCTTTATCAGTTGAATAGTTTGCAAATAATTTCTTGCATTCTGTTGGTTGCCTCTTCACTTTCCTGAGTGAAGGAAAGTGATTTTGTAGTACAGAAGCTTCTCAATTTGATGTAATCCCATTTGTGAAATTTGGCTTTGATTGCTTGTGCCTCTGGGGTCTTTTCCAAGAAGTCTTTGCTTGTGCCAATGTCTTCGAGGGTTTTCCCAATGTTCTTTAATAATTTGATGATATCGGGTCATAGATTTGGTCTTTAATCCATTTTGAGTGGATTTTTGTGTGAGGTATAAGGTAGGAGTCCTGCTTCATACTTCTGCATGTGGAGATCCAGTTTTCCCAGCACCATTTGTTGAAGAGACTGTCCTTGCTCCAGGGATTGATTTTAGGTCCTTTGTCAAATATAAGTTGGCTGTAGATGCTTGAATTGATTTCTGGTGTTTCTATTCTGTTCCATTGGCCTATCCATCTGTTTTTGTACCAGTACCAGGCTGTTTTGAATATAACTGCCCTGTAGTACGTATTGAAATCTGGTATTGTGATGCCTCTGGCTTTGTTTTTGTTGTATGAGATTGCTTTAGCTATTCAGGGTCTCCTGTGTTTCCATATGAATTTTGACATCACTTTTTTCTATATCTGAGAAGAATGTCCTTGGTATTTTGATTGGTATTGCATTGAATCTGTAAATTGCTTTTGGAAGTGTGGACATTTTCCAAACAAGTAAATCTTAAAGAAAAGAAAAGAAAACCAGAATCCAGGACACTTTTCTCCCCACTGGCTCAAACTCCCCCTTTTTAATAATGTGTGCTTTGCAGCCATTTCAACCCGAAACACGGGCTCATCTGTAGAACCCTCGCATCTCTGCACGTAGTCTTCTGTCTAAACATGTTTGTGGACACCGTGTGCAGTCATAACCTGCTCCCACGTCGCCTCGGAAGGAAAGTGACAGGCAGACTCCACACAGTTCCTCTTCCTTGAACAGTGCCAG